CTGGGGTGCACAAATTATGTTAGTATGATTTTTACTTCAAAATTGTCAGAAATTAGAAATAAAGGCATTTTTGATGCCCCTGATTTTAGCCCTCTGATTTGAGCGCAGATACGCCCCTTCAAACAGTGTAAATGCACACTGCTGTGATTGGCTAACATATTTACTATTACAGCTCTCAAGGTTAACTATTGGTGGAAAGTGTTGATTATAGCACTATATTTAGATCTATAGCATTATATTTAGATCATGGAATGAAAGGTTGCAGTGATGAGAATGCAGCCAATCATAGACATGTTGAGCACATGAATGCTGTGATCTGGTCATTGTAACTCAATTTCTGCACTCTCACGAAAGCTTTCATCATAACTAACAGTGCAAACAGAATGTAAATAAAAGATTTGTTGATTATAACGGGAGTTTTGGCGGGAGTCCAGATCAGCCACTGATAAACTTGCGCTGTTTGATTGACAGCTCCAGTGATTGTAAAGGGAGCATTTTTTGATTGCTTTCTATGTAATTTAATCAGTCTAAATACGATTTTTTCATCCTACTAAGAGAAACAATGTGAAGTTGACTGTTTAGTCACTGGTTTGATTTACTGACACACAGACAAAGAACGTCTGACTGAAGGTACATGAATCATTACATATAAGAAATCACTGGTCAAAGATCATGCATTGTAATAACAGTTACTTACTTGTTGTGACATTACTGCCAGGTCTGTTTGCAAAGCCTGTGCCGAAATTACGACTGATTTACAAGTGAATTCACAGTAAGATCTACTGAACAAACAATAATGCTCAACTGAGACGTTCACATTGTTGAAAAAAACAACAACACACTCCTAGCATTAGGACCCTTTAGGTAATATTATTTTTAGACCAGTCATCCTGTATCGCTCCTCTCTCCTTGTCATCTCACTAACACGCAGTGTCTGTCTTTCACCTATAGGCACATTATACGAGTCGTTCTCTGGGCTTGGTTACTATAAAAGCTGTTTTTGGACTAACAAGGATGTTTTCAGTTCTGAAACACATGACTCCTATAGCAAAGTAAAGTCAAACCTTCTCATCTTCAAAGTATTGCTCCATTTAGTGTGGTAACAAAGGAAAATTAAGGAAGACTGAAGGCAAGCCAGTGGGTGATAGATTACTTACAGTAATACGCTACTTATATCAAAGAGTAATGTAATCTATTACATTATACATTTTAGCTAATACAATTTGACTACTTTTTTTATTAATTTTATAGCACTTTTGCACTGCATGGTATGGCTCGGCATGGCACGGCTTGGCTCGGTTAGCTTTTTCACTGCAGTTTAGTACTGCTTAAAAGTGGGTGGGATTATAGACTGAACATTATAGTTGCAGCGCCTCTATTGCCATGGCATCATTGTAAATGTGTCATTAGCAATAAATCACAGGAGCAATAAATCGATTAAAGCTATAAAACAATACGAATAAAACACTAACACAAAAATAAAACACAAAAAGGTGCGACTATATGACTGTTACCTGACATTAGAGAACTGAAATCATGCAAATGTTTTGTTTTGGAATCTGATTACATAATCCAGATTACATATAATCAGTTACAGCTAAAAACCAACGACCTACAACTAACCAGCTCTGTTAAGAGCCTCTAATGGCTCCTAATTTGGCCTTAAAATAATATCATGGCTGAACAGAAGAATTCTGTCAATATCCTAAAAGAACTGCATTGTTCTGCAAATGCATTCAAACTGTGGGTTGGTTTTATTGTGTTTGCATCTGTGAAAGTGTGGAATGTATGTGTGTGTCAGTGAGGGCCAAGTTTAATTATGGTTCTCACAAGCTCACAGTTCCCCTCTTCAATCTGCTTCAGCTGGCTCTCAAATGAGACAATGACGAGTAAGGCCTGCTGTGAGTGTACGATAGAGAGTGAATCAGAGAGTGAGAGAGAAACATTTCCATGCTGCCATGAAAAGAAGAAATGTACATAAGCTCTTGCTACTTATCTCATTGGATTGCTTAAAGCTGCAGTCTGTTGTTTTCTCGTCTTTGTCGCCATCTCTGTTCGAAATCTGCAATTGCAGTCATTCGCGGAATTATCAACTTTACGTAAGTTGTACTTAAACACCCTCGACACGGCACAGCGTGGATGAACACAGTGTTTAAGGAGACTGTGAGGCTGTAATTCACCGTGCCGGCGTGGATACTGGCATTCAGAATCACAGATTAAAGGCTCTATGCACAACTTACTTTTACATTCTGTAAAACAGAGCGCATCACGTGACGCTCGGCATAAAGACTATTCTTTTTGGAAGTATGACCAACATTAAGAATTTTCCCCGGAAAATGTCATCTGAACTAGTAAAAACATCCACTTTTGTTCTGTTTCTGACTGCAGTAAATCGTGCTGATTAAATCTAGCAATCACTTATAAGTTATCATATCACTCAAATCCGTGCAAATTATACTTTGTTCTCAAATTGTTAATTTTAAAAACGTCAGCCTTGTGTGACTACATGTAATTTCCTTCTGATATTATCCTTGTTTCCGCATGCAGTCTCTTTTTTCTGTGGCTACTCGGATGTCCGAACAAAGTCTTTTGCATTTTACAGCGGGTGAATTTGTTGTCACTGGTTATTGTCGTTTGAACCTTTCTGGATCCGTCATCAAATTGATAAGTTTAATTATATAAAAGTTAAAACTTAAACTTAAAACTTAAAAATTATACAAAAGTTTTCTGTGATGGGTAGGTTTAGAGGTAAGGGTTAGTGTTAGGATTATACAGTTTGTACTTTATAAAAACCATTACACCTATGTATAGTCCCCGTAAAATGTGTGTGTGTGTGTGTGTCGTCCTGCATTGTTGGTTTTTAATCACAATTCAGGATCAAACATCCACTTCTGATTGAAGCGAAAGATTAGAGCATGCCACCAAGGAAACCAAAGGGTAGTTATAAGATCGATGCAGCAATAAAATGATACATGTATCCATGTTTCAACCAGTGCTACTTGGTGTCTACACATACTGTTACACAACATACTGTATGTAAAAGCACAAGTAAGAGAACACTACGGTATATAACACTCATGCTTTCCATTTAAGCCACGTACGGAAATTGAGCTGTAAAAATGGGTCATTGAGAAGTCATATATTGACATCACCAAGAGCATACAGTATACAGTACTGACCACCTACTGTTTACATATTCAGTGTCAGAACATACAGTGCATCCGGAAAGTATTCACAGCGCTTTACTTTTTCCATATGTTATGTTACAGCCTTGTTCCAAAATGTATTCAATTAATTATTTTCCTCAGAATTCTACAAACAAGACAATGTGAAAGAAGTTTGCTTGAAATCTTTGCAAATTTATTAACAATAAAACGAAAAAATCACATGTACATAAGTATTCACAGGCTTTGCTCGATACTTTGTTGAGCCTCAAATTTTTTTGAGTATGATGCTACAAGCTTAGCACACTTATGTTTGGCCAGTTTCTCCCATTCTTCTTTGCAGAACCTCTCAAGCTTGATCAGGTTGGATGGGGAGTGTCAGTGCACAATCATTTTCAGATCGGGTTCAAGTCTGGGCTCTGGCTGGCAACTCAAAGACATTCCGAGTTGTCCTTTAGCCATCCCTTTGTTATCCTGGCTGTGTGCTTAGTGTCGTTGTCCTGTTGGAAGATGAACCGTTGCCCCAGTGTGGAGCAGGTTTTCGTCAGTGATGTCTCTGTAAATTGCTGTATTCATCTTTCCCTCGATCCTGACTTGTCTCCCAGTTCCTGCTGGTGAAAAACATCCCCAGAGCATGATGCTGCCACCACCATGCTTCACTGTAGGGATGGTATTGGCCAGGTGATGAGCGATGCCTGGTTTCCTCCAGACATGACGCTTGCCATTCAGGCCAAAGTGTTCAATTTTTTGATTCATCAGACCAGAGAATTGCGCTGTGGTCTGAGAGTCCTCCAGGCCGACTGTCATGTGCCTTTTACTAAGGAGTGGCTTCCGTCTGGCCACTCTACCATACAGGCCTGATTGGTGGAGTGCTGCAGAGATTGTTGGTCTTCTCGAAGGTTCTCCTCTCTCCACAGAAAAACACTAGAGCTCTGTCAGAGTGACCATCAGGTTCTTGGTCACCTCCCTGACTAAGGCCGTTCAGTTTGGACGGGCGGCCAGCTCTAGGAAGAGTCCTAGTGGTTCCAAACGTCATCCATTTTCAGATGATGGATTCATTCATTCATTCATTCATTCTGTACCCTTTACCAAATCTGTGCCTCGATAGAATCCTGTCTCGGAGGTCTATAGACAATTCCTTGGACTTCATGGCTTGGTTTGTGCTCTGACATGCACTGTTAATTGTGGGACCTTATGTAGGCAGGTGTGTGCCTTTCCAAATCATGTCCAATCAACTAAATTTACCACAAGTGGACTCCAATCAAGTTGTAGAAACATCTCAAGGATGATTGAAGGAAACGGGGTGAACCTGAGCTCAATTTTGATTGTCATGACTCATGGCAAAGGCTGTGAATACTTATGTGATTTTTTTTTTTTTTTTTTTTTTTTTTTTTTTCCTAATTTGCAAAAATTTCAAACAAACTTCTGCCACATTGTGATTATGGGGTATTGTTTGTAGAATTTAAAGGGAAATAATTAAATCAATCCATTTTGGAATAAGGCTGTAACAACAACAACAACATGTGGAAAAATTGAAGCTCTGTGAATACTTTCCAGATGCACTGTATTAAAGCAATAAGCCCAAAGAACTGTACTTTACAGTGATTTTATAACAGCTAATGGGCAGAGCAGAAAAAATATGAAAATGTAAACAATTAAAAATAATGGAATTGTTGGATAAATACCCCTTTAACTCACTGTAAATGTATGAAACCTTTATTTTTAGTTTTGATGGCACTGGTTCTCGTTTTATCACTGAACGAATTTATAATTACATATTATTATTTTGCACTTTTGATGTTTAATACGATGCTTATTTCTTTTTAAATTTCATAGGGATCCATCACTCCCTCCCTTCGTCCCCATATATCGCAGAGCCCAAAGGTCACCGGTTGCCACCCTCAGGGACGTTATCATCAGAATTCTTGAATCAGGGTGGTTCTTCAAAGATCCTCCTGTTACTCTGCAATGTTGCTGGATCTGGCCAAGAAGCTACAAGGTGACAAATCCACTACTTCACTATCTTAAACCCAATGTTACAGAAGGATCCCATTTAACCTTTTTGCCAATTGAACCCCAAATTGTTTGCTTGAATTCCTCCCTGAAATTTGAATGTTCTAACCCCCTTGATGGATAGTTAAATGGAGCTTAAAGGGTTAGTTCACCAAAAAATGAAAATTGAGTCATTAATTACTCACCCCCATGCTGTACCAACCCCGTAAGACCTTCGTTCGTCTTCGGAACACAAATGAAGATATTTTTGATTAAATTTGAGAGCTGTATAACTACCACATTGGCTCCTAAGGGACTGGCTCTTGACGGCCCAGAAAGTCAATGAAGAAAATGTTTAAATACTCCATGTGACTACAGTGGCTCAACTATAAGTTTATCAAGCGACGAGAATACTTTTTGTGCGAAAAAACAAACAAAAATAACGACTTTATTCGACTATTCCTTTTCTTCCTTGTTGGCCTGAAACGAGACTTCCATACGATTTCCACGACGCATGCGCGAGAACTAAACTGAAGTAGTTAAAGGAGATCGCAATTCTCGCGCATGCGTCGTGGAAATCGTATGGAAGTTTCGTTTCATTACTAGTAACATCCTGCTCCTAACTAGTGACAAAAAAATGCTACAGAGCCGAAGCACTCACACTCTTTGGGGAAATGAACTTTTTTATTTTTTTTAATGCACATTAAGTTAGGACAGGATCAAATTAACAATGCCAAGGTTACACAATTCACTAATGACACTAGTTAGGAGCAGGACTACCTGTAATATCTGATTACTGGGGAAGTGACTATTTTATGGCGCTTTTCCATTACTAGTATCAGCTTGGCTCGCCTCGACTCGGCTTGCTTTTCGCTCCGTTTTCCATTGCAGACAGTACCGCCGCAAATAGTAGAAATAACTTCATAAACTTAATAAATTGCTTCAAACTAAACTCTGAGTGTGTTTCAAATATTTGATGTTGCTAACCTGGCAAACTCTACCAAATCCAGTGATTATCATCCTCAACAAGCAAGCATGACTTAATAAATGTGGTGTCGCCTTTGCAATGTTCAGGGAGGGAAGAGTGAGGCAAGGATTTATTGCAGCAGTAGTTTATTTCAAACAAGAAGATAATCCAATTTGTGGAGATGACAGCTTAGTTTAACCAAGACAAAAACTGATTAACTCGAACTACAGGGCTAGATGGATTTATACAGGGGTAAATGAGGAACTAAACAAGACACAGGTGAACATAATCAGAAACCATGAAAACCAAAAACCTTAAAAACAGGAAGAGAAAACCGAAGCAATGCAATAGAAATATATTTCAGAATAATAATCTTAAACCGGTATAACATGACACCCTTACTCTTGTAATGTCAACCAATCAGATTAGAGCTTACCGGATTGAGAAAGTGCATATTTATATAGTCAGATAAGTTAAACTTTAGAGTAGTGATGCAGGGAAAAATATAAAAGTCTTCGGTCAACATAAAATTGTGGTATCTCTCATTTTGACTTTTGCTTTCTCTCTCCAGGTTTGGGCCTCCGTTCCTGATGAGAGTAGAAAGGACTCTTTCTTGGGATCATTTGCGACAGAGTGTCTGCAATAAGCTTTACTTATTTAAAAAAAATATCATCGTAAAGGTGAGTGTCAGCTGATCATTGATTAGTACTCTCAGGTTTTGATGTTCGTGCAATGTGCTGTGGTTAGAGTTTGGGTAATATTTGGATATTTATATTTATATTGGATATTGGATATTTAAATTTTTTATTATGACAGAAGCCTCTCAATAATTATGACACCGCTCTCCCTGCAAGCTTAAATGTTCAGATGAGGGATGGATAATCACAGACCAATTAGTTGAGGTGAGAGGAGAAAGAGTCATGTGTACAGTATACACCTGTTGAACTTACTGATTGAATATGAACAAATGTGTTAATTATTATTCATCAGTCATTAGCTTAGATACATGGTGAAGCGCTATGTTATTTCCTTTGTAAGTTTGAAAATGCAGGAATGTCACCATAAATGGTTATGTGCCAACGCTGCCCTCTGAGGGTCACTGTTGGGTCCGGTTTCCCAAAAAAAGAGATTCTTGTTTAACATTCATGAAGTTTGTCATAAAGTCAGTGAATAATCTTGAATTAAAATTCTAAATATATTTTGAATTACCATAGTATAATATATTTAACTTACAGCTTTAGTCATATCATTTAAATGCCATAGATGTCACTGATGTTTTGTAACGCCAGTCTTGTTCATTAGTTATTTGTTCCTACAGTATTAGACAACAATCTGAATGTTTTGGAACATGTTTCAGAAAGTGAATGAGATCGAAAGACACACGAGATCTTACATTGTCTTCTAAGTGCTTCAGTACAACGTATTGGCCAGTACTGCAGAGTTGTATTGTTTTAAAATCTTTTCACGATAATAAATTAAAGGACCAATATAAACTCACCTCCTCAAACAAAAGACTGCTGCCGTTTTCATCTGTTCATTGGTTCCCATTAAATCTTTAATTTATCACTCTGTACGCTTGGATGCAGCTCCATTCTGTTCTATTTCTGCTTAAAATCTTGATGGTCCTCTCTTCCTCAGTTCCACAATACTATGTTATTCACGGAGAAAGGAATAAACATGCCCCTTTTCAAACCTCTTTTAATGCATTAGTCATACCAGAGAGTTTGTGAATTAAGAATTTTTCATAGGCCTATTTGCAGAAAACATTTGATCTTTATAAGGATCTTATTCTAAATAAAATTTTGATATGTTGTTGCTTGCATGACATTGCTCTTATATACTTGCATGTGAACCTTTAGGATTATCAGAAATTTGAAAAGGTCATTGGAATAAGGTTATTGTTAATGGGATCAAATTGGCCCTGGTCAACTGAACAAAGGTAAACCTGGAGTTGAAAAGAGTTAGTTCACCATAAAAATGATGCTTCTGTTATTTGCTCACCCTCATGTTGTTCCAAACCCATAAGACTTCATCTTCTAAACACAAATGAAGATATTGTTTTAAACTTTCCCTCAATTCAAACTTCAAAAGTTCAGGCTTTTATTCACATATAAACATTGATCAGCGCACATGCATAGAACACAAAACTCTTTTCCACCTATCATATTACAGGACTTGCTATTAACGTATACTGTACGTATATTGCTATTAACGTATAACGTCTAAGAAGAAGATACTACAATGTTACTTTACATATGAGTGGTTGTCTAACAAATATCACTCCAGGAGAAAGACATCTTGTATTCTAGAAAGAGCCCCATGGTAACATCTAAAAGACTTGTGGGCCTCTCTTACATTATTTAAGATTAGTGTTTCTCAGTCCACCATCCAGCAAACACTGTACAAAAAGAATATTGCTACCCGTCTAATGTTTGCCAGAGACCGTGAGCCTGAAGACTATTGGAAGAATGTCCAAGATTCCTAAATATAAGTTTTGGTTTAAATGAGAAGCATTACATTTGGGGAAAAGCAAAATACTGCATTCAATATGAAAATAATCCCAACTGTAATGCACGGTGGTGGCATTTTTATTATTGTTTGGGGCTAATTTACTGCGTCTGGACAAGGCTTGAGATCACTGATGGAACGACGAATCCTGCGTAATACTATAACTTGTTGAAATGGTTCATGTCGCTTGTAATCGCTCCATCCGTGTGGATAGAAGTCAATTAAACAGCTTGTAAAAAATGTCATGTTACATTTATATATTTATAACTTCCACTACAGATTAAAAATATAGGTAATTTATTTAGCAATTGCGTGATGTATAATTGCGACCTTTTTTCTCGAATTTGTGGAATTACATTTTATAAAGTTATGAGATAAACTCACAATTCTGAGGAAAAAAGTCAGAAGGCAATTATCTTTTGAAAATGTTTATTCATTGGCGGAAGAAAGCTGCTATACATTTACCTTAGAAAGCAAGAAAAAAAATGCTATAGAGTATTTTGCTAAATATTAGCACTATAGGCCTATTATGGCGCTTTTCCACTGCATAGTACGGTTCGGCTCAGTACGGTTCGACTCGGCACGGAACAGTTCGGCTCGCTTCGCGTTTCCACTGCGTGGTATGACTCGACTCGGTACGGATCGGTTCGGTTCGCTTTAGCTCGGTTGCTTTTCCACTGCAGTAGTACCCCTTCAAAGTGTGTGGGACTGATCGTTATTTGCGCGCGCCTCTACTGCCATGACATCATCTTAAAAGCACCACATTTTCAAACCCACAACACAGGAACAATGGAGCCTATCGAGGGGATGGTGTTCCTGATTCTCGGTATGTGGTTGTTTTTAACTGCTAGACGGAAAAATGTGTTTAAAATGAGGTTGATGGCAGCAAAACAAAAATACTGCTAAAAAAGTGTCTTGTGTCGCAAATCCAATGACGCTAGTAGTGACGCTGGTAGTGACGATTCTGTCTGACCAATCAGTGATCTGCAGTGTTTCACATCACATTTTAGTACCGGTACGGTACGCTTGGAACCTCAACAGACCAGTAAGCGACCCAAAGCGAACCGTACTGTACCGTACCATGCAGTGGAAAAGCACCACAAGTGAGCCGTACCGAACCGAACCGTACTGTACCATGCAGTGGAAAAGCGCCAAAGTAAGCCGTACCGAACCGTACCGTACCGTACTATGCAGTGGAAAAGCGCCATTACATATTTGACTCTTTGTTTCCCCCTGTTTTCTAGTCTTTTGGTTTAGTCCTGTTCTGTTTTCCCGCCTCTCATCTGTTTCCTTACCAACCGTCATTAGTTCATTTTCATCACCTGTGTCTTGTAATCATCGTCATCTGTATCACCTGGTTTTGGTTCATTAGCATTTGTATTTAGTTTCCTTCAGTTCAGTATGTCCTCGTCGGTGGATGTTAATGTTCTATGAGTGTGTGTGTTATCTTCTGCCTGTCTTCCTTGTACCCGTTTGGAGTTTTGAGTAAATGTTTTGAATTGGAGCTTTGCGTCAGCCTCAGCCTGTCTTCATTCCACACTACTCCGTGGCACATATTATTAAAATGTTGTTATTATTATAAAAATTTAAAATAGTTCATTTTAATCTTTAATAATAATACCAGCTGACAGGGATTTCTGTATGTTTAAAGCATTAGTAGAGAGATGTTTTTTTTTCCCCTGAAAAGAAGTAACATGTAGCTTCTGTACCCGATATTTATCCAAATGAATCGATATTTAATCAGGATCGGAACTGAATCTCAAGCGAATGGATTGATGTCCTGAAATTTGTACAGTAGGCTACCAGTTATTGCACCATGTAAACATTGTAATATTTAAACTTAAGGAAATTCTATTTAGTGACATTGAAGTCAAAAGTTTGTTTTTATTTTTACAAAAGTTGACGGCCCTGCTCTTATGCTCACCATGGCTACAATTATTTTATCAAACATATAGTAAAACTGTGATATTATTTAAATTGAAAACTGTTTTCTATTTCATTTATTCCTGTGATGGCATTGATGAATTTCCAGCAGCCATTACTCCAGTGTTCAGTGTCACATGATCTTTCAGAAACCATCCTAATAATTATAATAATAACCATGTAATTTCTAAGTTATTGTCTGGGGTTGGTGTGCAGCATGCATGAATGAGGTGAGGAGTAAACAACAGGGAGTAAACAGACTTTATTCTGAATCCATAACTCTCAGGAGAATAGTTAGAGAATAGAGATAGAGAATAAAGAATAGGATTGTTACATTTGTGCTAAAATGCTGTGTTTTGCCTTCCACAGACTACTGAACTGTTTAATATGCGTGTGGTGGGTGGGTCGGCTTCCTGCAGTTACCTGTCTCCCAACGACAGCAGACCTCTGTGCCACCCAACTGTGGACAGGTGAGCCCACATTCACCACCCGAAGAACAAATGTTAATTTATGTTTTTGAAAGAAGTCTTTTGCTCATCAAGGCGGAACTTGTTGGTCAAAATGCAGTAATACGGTACACATCCTTGCAGAATTTAAGTTTTTTTTTTGTTTTTTTTTTTTGTTATCTTTCTGACCCCAAACCATGTACACCACTGAGTGCTTATCAGTGCAGTGCTGCTACTGGAAAAAGTTAATATCTCCAGCTGCTTTAAACTTTTTAATTGGTCTCCAAACACCCACATCACAGTATTTTAACCTAGTTTGGACTAATTGTATCTCTTCTCTGCATCATGTTTGTGAGGCTCTAGAGAGACAAACCCAACAAGCTAAACCATGAAGAGCTCATCCTCACAGTGCTGTAGGTGTAACGCACACGACTCTCAAAAGCCAATGATCCATTTCTCAATTTAAACAGCTTAAAACCTAGTTCCACAGTCGTGACTGCAACCTCATTCGCTCCTCTGCCTGCTATTCTGGGCTGTTTTCCATTCTCTAAAGTGAATATAACAGAAATCGTATGTTTTTATTCGTAAATTTGTTTTGCTTTAAAGTTCAAGGTTTTTAAATGATAGTTCAGTAGAATAGAATTTTAATCTTTAGTGCAGATTATGTATGAAACCACAAACTAATACTGGGTTTGACGGTAATGTGTACGTTTGTGTGTGCGTAAAGAAATGACAGGAATAGATGGGATAGATGAAGTGACGCATGAAAAATAAGAATGTTTTTATTTCTGAATTACATTGCATGTAATTAGCTACTCCCCAACACTGCATACCCCAGTTTTTTTAAGTACTTTGGAATACCATGGAAATATTTATATCTAAATAGTGTGTGTGTGTATGTATATGGTCATCATGGTATTACCATCTGATAGCATCACTATACCAGACTAGAACAGTACATTTTTGTAAGTTTTGGAAATGTGAATGTTTTTAACATTTTGCAGAGGTGTTTGATCATATTTTCTTACCAAAGCATCATTGTTTACTCACATTTATGTCTGTCTGTCACTGTATAAATAGGTTGTTTATTTGTAATTATGATGTTCAGATGATAGCATAGTCGTTCCCATTTCTCATGTGGTTACCTGCTGTTCTCTGACGCAAGCTGCTGCTCTTATGTGCTGAAAGACAGCAGTGTTTAACTGTGCAAGTAATTAAGTTTGTCAGCCATTGCTGAAGATGTATTCATTCATCTATCTAGAGGTTTCACAAAGCAAGATTGAGATAAGACGACCGCATTTTCCAAGCAATGACAGGAAGCATATGGTTGCCATAAACATTTATCATCAAAAAGATGGTTGTATGAAGAAAAGTTCAGAGAACAGAACAAAACAATGAAAAGTTTGGTAGCACTTTATTTTACAGTCCTGTTTCGCATGTACATCCTATGTATTTAGTATAGCAGTTACAATAGCTGGGTTATAACAATAGGTTCTAACCTTGAACCTATCCCTAAACCGAACCTTAGCCCATGTAGTTACCGTATACCAGTACTTTCTTGGGTAAGTACACTGTAAGAACAAGTACTGCAAAACGCGTACTGAAGTGTAACGCAAAGTTTCAGTGTAACTACTGTGTGTGTGTGTGTTTGTTTGTTTGTTTTAGATCCCCAAAGTTCAGTTTGAGATAAGGTAAATTGGTAGTGTAAGACGAGTTAAGTGTAAGATAAGAAAACTGTGTGTGTGTGTGTGTGTGTGGAGCTGTCTTCTCAATAGGCCAGCGTTGATGAATCCAAGTGAATTCCCCTCACGTCTCTGAATTATTGTTCCCTGCTTTTAAATCCTCTCAGAAACAATCGCAATTAACGCAGACGGACTGCGCGTCAGAATTAATCTGGCTTTAGCCCAGCTCTCAGTAAAACTCAGCCATGCTCCAGTCACATCTTCAAATTACGTCACACTCCTTTTTGCCGCAGTTTTTCCCTCTGTCATATTTGATCGATTGTTTGCAGAATTGCACTGGGTGAATAGTGAGGGCCGAGGCTGTAAATGCTGTTTGTTTTTTTCTCTCTTGGTTATTTAGCCAGGTGATTATTGACGTGTGTGCATAGGCTATTTTAATTTTTTTTTTTTTTAATCTGAGGACCTGTAATGATAGTGTGAACTACAGACGAATCCTGGTAATTACCATGAATAAAAATAATAATAGAAAAGCTGTTTTTAGACTTGCAATTTTAAAGGATAAATGAAGCTGGCCATTGTTCTGTGACTTACTTTATTTTCTGGACATTTTCCTTTTCTCTCTCCCTCTATATTTTCCTCACGCTTTTGTCTTTGTTTTGTAATGATGAAACGGGTTGAAGTATACGTTCTTATTAGAAAAACTAAATGAGATTAGAGCCGTATCACAGCGGTACAACATAATTATCATAGTTGAGTCTAGTCATGACCTAGTTGAATGTGGTCATAATTCAGTCATACCTCCCATCTTGGTAGTTTCTTTACCCTCCTTCGTTTACTGTACAATCAAAGGCAAAAAGCCTTTTTATATATTTATACTATACATTAAGGTCAAAAGTCTGGGGTCATAAAGTTGTTTTTGTTTTGTTATAAGTTTCTTATTCTCACTAAGGCAGCATGTATTGAACCAAAATAGAGTAAAACCATTATATTGGGAAATATTATTACAATTTAAAATAACTGTTTTACTATATTTTCAAATATAATTTATTCCTTGAATTATTTAATGATTACTCCAATCTTCTGTCACATGAATGGTCATTCAGTAATCATTCTAACATGCTGATTTGCTTTTCAAGAAACATTTATTAATTACAACGTTGAAAGTTCAAGTTCATTTTATTTATATAGCACATTTTATAACAGCCACTGACTGACCAAAGTGCTTTACAGAACTACAAAATTAAAAGACACTAACACCATGCATAGTAGCACATCGTAGAACTGTACAGCAAAGTTAAAAACAGCTTAGAACGGGAGTCCAAGCAAACAGTCTCAGAGTTATCAACAATAAAAAATAAAAATAGAAAAGACAGTAACAGACTTAATACTACACGTAGCATCTACTCAAAGGAGAGAAAGATGAAATAGAAAGAAAAGAGAATATATATATATATATATATATATATATATATATATATATATATATGCATACCCATACACACACACACATACATATATACCCATATATACATATGCATATATATACACACACACACACACACACATACATAAATATATATATATACACACATACTGTACATACATACATACATAAACAACCTTATTTATAGGCCAAAGAAAACAAGTGCTTCTTTAAAAGTGACTTAAAAGAAATCACAGAAGGGACTATCCTAACGTCTATGGGCAAATTGTTGCACAGCCGAGGCCCAACCACAGAAAAAGCTTGATTCCCCTCTGTGTTTAAGTCTGCAGTGAGGGACTTGTAACAGATTTTTTTTCACCTGATCTCAGACTTCTTGATGGAGTATAAGGTTGTAGCAGTTCAGTTAGGAAGCTAGGTGCTTGGTTGCATAGAGCTTTGTACACAATAACAGGATTTTAAACTCAATTCTGAAATTAATGGATAACCAATGAAAAAACCTCAGAATTGGGGTGATATGGTCACTTTCCGTTTGGGTTTTCGAGATACCGCAGTAAAGTGAATTGCAGTCATCTACACGTGTGGTGATAAAAGCATGAACAGCCATCTCAAGAGTTTTAGGATTAAGAAAAGGTTTGACTTTTGACAAGAGGTGATAAAAACTAGAGCTTATTACAGAGGAGATTTGTTTATCAAAATTTAAAGACTCATCCAGTAGAACGCCCAGTTTCCGTACACTTGAAGATCTAAACGCCGCTAGTCTGCCTAGGTCGAAGGTGGCAGCCTGGGGATTAACAGTGGACCCGAAAACAATGATCTCTGTTTTGTTTTCATTTAAAAACAAAAAATTTTGGTCCAGCCAAAATTTTATTTCATCTAGACAGCCTAAAAATGATGAAAGGGCAGAGGGATCATTTCTCTTGATTGGAACATACAATTGGGTGTCGTCTGCATAACAATGAAAAGATACCCCATGTCTTCTTAGAATGGTGCCCAGTGGTAACATGTAGAGGGAAAAGAGAGAAGGCGCTAAGATAGATCCTTGAGGAAGGCCACAGGTTAGATGCGCAACAGACGAAGAGCAATTTCCACTGGAGGACGATACCTTTTAGCCCCACATCATATTCTAGTCTGGATATCAGGATCGAGTGGTCGATCGTATCAAAAGCTGCCGACAGATCCAGAAGAACAAGAGCCACGGAGTCACCAGTGTCGGAACGATAGACGTCATTTAAAACTCTTAGCAGAGCAGATTCAGTGCTGTGAGCAGACTTAAAACCAGATTGAAATTTTTCAGAAATATCATTGCATTTTAGAAAGAGCTGGAGTTGGTCAAGGACAACTTTTTCTAAAACCTTAGAGACAAAAGGCAAAACAGAGATAGGACGGAAGTTATTTACAGTAGGATCCAGTGAAGGCTTCTTGAGTAACAGAGTGACAGTGGCCCCAGGATTATTTAATGAATAGAAAGTTCAAAAGAAAAGCATTTATATAAAATGGAAATCTTTTATATTTAATGTCACCTTTGTTCACCTTCAGCAGTACTTGCACTTTACAATACGGTTAATTGCAACATTAGCTACCTTAGTTAACATGAACTAAGAATGAACTACTTCTGCAGCATCAATTAATCTTAGATCATATTCATTTTTACTAATACATTATTAAAATCAAAGGTTGTTTGTTCATGTTATCTCACTGTGCATTAATGTTAACAAACAAATTAACAGCTATATTTTTATTAACTAACATTAACAAAGATAAATAAATACTGTAGCAAATGTAAAATTGGGGCTCATTGTTAATTCATATTAGTTAATACATGAACTAATGAACCTTATTGTAAAGTGTTACCAAAATAACTTTCTTACCCTAAACGGTTTTAACTTATAAATTGACTGTAACTGTCTTGCTGTCTAATGCTAATTCATTCTATGAACTTAACACTGTTTATAGTCTGCCACCTAGTGGCTGAATACCGAACTCACAATTTGAATCATGTCTTTTGTCACAGGGCCCTGAAGTTCTGCGGTCCTGGTGGTCCTCTGCATGTGAAGCTCGTGATTGAATGGGAGAACAGAATCAAGGAATGGTGAGTTAAATGCTGCTGCATATTTCCTCTTATTTAACACGTTAATTTAATTCAATTAATTAATATAAGTAAGAGTCTTCTTAGGAATAGACCTAATCATTTGAAAGTGAGAATTATTGTGTGTTTCTTTTCTGTTTCAGTCTCTTTGGTAACATTCAAGAGGAAGTTATTGAGGATGCAGAGAGTGTGAGAATCCAGCAACAAAATCACGTACAGCAGCACAGCTGCACGCTGGATGAGTGTTTTCAGCTTTACACCAAAGAGGAGCAGGTACTCTTTCCTGCAGTCACACTCTCAGTTCATTATCTCTTCTCTTTTCTTACCAGTGTTATTTATGTGTAGATCAGGGAGATACAGTACAGATATAGTATATATGTATATATACATAAATATATATATATATATACATAAATAAATGTATATATTTATATATATATATATATATATATATATATATACTGTTTTAATATATTTAAAAATGTAATTTATTCTTGTAATGGCAAAGCTGAATGAATTTAAGCGACATTATTCCAGTCTGCAGTGTCACATGATCCTTCAGAAATCATTCTAATTTGCTGATTTGATGCTCAAGTAACATTTCTAAAATTATTATTATTATCAATGTTGACAACAGCTGTGATGCTTTATGTACTTTGAAAACCATGATATTTTTTTTTTCAGGATTCTTTGATTAACCGAAAGTTCAAAAGAACAGATTTTATTTAAAATAGAATTTGTTTATAACAATGCAAATACCTTTTTTTATTCTGGTCAATTTGTGTAACAATTATTCAAAAACAACTTTTGGGTTCCACATAAATGACAAAATTTTAGGTTAGAATGACTTAATAATGACATAATGACTTTTCAACTTGGGCTTAAAAATGACACGAAAATTAGTTCCTCTATTTTTTTTGACACCTAACTTTCACTATTTTTCATGTTCTATTCTAGGCCTGTCTAGTTATGAGTTTAGTGCCTCTGCAGAGACTCTGAAGTGGCCTGTTTCGCTCATAATCTGTATTTTTGTCTCAAAGGCTATTGTTAAGTATATGAAGTGGAGTTTGATGAAAGAAAATAAAAAAAAACTAAAATCAGCTCTAAAAATATGGAATGAACATGAGGAAAAGTAAAAAAATAAAATAAAAATGAAACCGTGATTACAGTTACAATGTAGAGAGCTCTACAATCTAACATAAGAGCAACCAATTAGTAGAGCATTTTACTAACTTTTACTAGAGCAACTTTAGGATCCATTATCTTTCTTGTATAGTTGGAGCTTTTGATTTCATTTTATATAGCAGTCATAATTGTCCAGACTAATAATTTATTTCAATTAATTGATTCAGTCGGACAATATGTGGTTGTTTAAATGGTTAGAAGCAAAAGATGCGCTGATGGTCAAAATATTAAATACATAATGTTACTTTTTGACATCCACGGAGATTAATGAGGTAGAAACTATTCTCTACAGAATTAATGCTTGAAATTCAAGGTGTTAGACATTTTCCATATTCCAAGATTATTCAAGACAAAAATCACTTGGAGAGCAATTGGAGCTGGTTTCCCTCATAGTGTTTTGTCTTTCACATCCCACACACATACTCTTTGGAAGGTCACTCTGAATTAATTCTTCTCTATATACTTCCTATTCTGGGCAAGCATTACTTGATAAATCTTACCCAAGATCCCCTGAGAGTTACCTCATCATGATTGGTTCCACAAATAATTATCGATCCTCTAACAGTGTCATGTCATTACTGAAGCAACACTTAGGACGTCAGTTACAGTATATGTTTTGCAGTGGCTGTCCAGCTGGAATTTAAATCATGCCTTTTTTTCTTTTATTGGCTAAATAATTTGAAGTTATAAATAACTTGTTACATGCAGAGCTTCAGTAAATATTCAGATTTTGTTGTCTTTTCCCTCTCTGCATGTTCACTGCAATCCAGTCTATCACAACTAGGGCTCGGACAGAATGAAAATTTCATATCACGATTATAGTGTCCAAAATTATCACGGTTTTGTTAAAATTAGATGAAAGCGTTCAAAACGAACTAATGCTCATACTGAAAACATTTCAACAAGTTTTATATTTGAAAATCAACAAACAACAAATTTGGTTCGTTGATTTTGGTTCGTTCGGTTTGTTTGTTTTTTTGTGCGATAATTACATTTAAAACGATAATACTAACCGTCAGTATATTATATTTTACTTATTTGTTTAAGTATATTATTTTATCGTGGTTTATCGTGAAACCGATTATCGTCCCATTCCTGGTCACAACAGTGTATTTCTGAGACATAAATGTTTTACTGCACCACCCGAGTCAAAACAGGTTCAGATAATGACATGGTTTAGTTGACCATGGAGAAGCGCTACATTCTGCTTGCATTTCGTCAAATCTCCAGAAAGAAAATATTATTTATATACCTGTGATGAATCGTAATGAGGACTAGACTGTGTATTTGCGAATGTTTGTCTTTGTCTTGCAGCTGGCGCCAGACGATGCATGGAAGTGCCCTCACTGCAAGCAGATGCAACAGGGGATGGTGAAGATGAGCTTATGGACCCTACCTGACATCCTCATTCTGCACCTGAAGCGTTTTCGGCAGGTGGGCAAACGGCGAAACAAGCTCTCCTCCCTCATTCACTTCCCTGTGAGCGCTCTGGATATGACTCCCCATGTGGTGAAACGCAGTCAGAGCATGAGGAATTTGGCCCCATGGCCTTCCACTTGGAAACATGGGGATACCGACTTCCTTTACGACCTGTATGCAGTCTGCAACCACCATGGTGGCATGCATGGAGGCCATTACACAGGTGAGTGTGCTGGGGTCTCTGATAGTATTGAAGCAGGGTTTTGTTTCTCTATATAAAAAACATTTCTATTTTATAATTGTTACACAAGAGGTGTTTGATGTTTGATCTTTAGCTCTATGTGATTTGTGGCTTTGTGGATTATTCATTCAATAATTTAAAACTAAAAAGACACATTCTTACTATTTTTTTTATTTTTGTCAACTAACGATGTCTTTTAATTCAAACATACATTCCATTTTACTTTGTTTTGCTTTTGTGCTGAGTCATTTCCACAACTTAAATCTCAAATTATGAGTGAATTGTGTATAATATTCATTTTAAACATTTTGGAAATAAAATGAAATTGGGCAAAATAGGATAACATTTTATGTTACCTAAATACAATCATGATGAAAATGGCACAACTGAGGGACAGTTGTAATTTGTGTCATAATAGATGTCATGATTCACAAAATAAATATTTATGAATGGAATTTTCAAATTGCAGACATGTTAACTTAAAATATTATTTAAATGTTTAATAAAATATTTTTTTACACATTTACTGATTTATTGATATTAGTCTCATTCTGCTTTATAAGGGCTGGTCAGATTTTTTTTTTTCTTATTGATATTTTTATATTTATTGTATTCACAGCCCCATTATAATATGATTATATGGAAGCTTTTTTCTGCCACGAAATAAAAAAAAATATATAAAGTTGCAATTCAAACAATAGTACTGTAATCTCACGAAGGTGAGTACACCCTTCACATTTCAGCAAACAGTTTTAGTATATCTTCTCAAGGGACAAAACTATAGAAATTAAGCTTGGATATATTTTAGAGTAGTCAATGTGCTGCTTGTATAGCTTGTAAGAAAAAATTATGTGGACGTAGAAGATCTCAAAAATGAAGTATAGCACAGCATAGGAGTGGCAAGGTGTATAAAGCACCTTGGGTTCACCGTCATCAGAATGAACCCCGAAATAATCTCAGCTCAAACATTTTATACTGTATTCCATTCATCTTCTAGCCTGGCTGCGCCCTCCTACGCACTTCCGCTCAATTTCATTTTCCTTCAGTACTACGTCTGGGACTGCTGTATATACTTAGGTTTCCAGAAATCAATTTTTTGTAGGACCAATCAGCGAATAGAGGGAGTGGCTGAGAACGATGATGTTGATGTAGCGCGTCAGTTCAGTTTGAGTTCAGTAATGGCAGCGGAGGAAGACGTGAAAAAAGGTCCGTTCGGTCCATTGTATTGAAACTGACGAATATACAGAATTCAAAGCCGGAGCAAGAACAATGTTTGCTAAGTTTTGTTGGTGGCCATGATGTTGTGGCCCTCCTCCTCACGGGATTCGGGGAAAGTTTGATTTTCCAGCTCACTCTGCTAGTGGTGAATGAGTTAGCTAAGGCGAATGATAGGGATGCAAAGCCGATAGTTGTTGTCGTCTCCCCTCTTGTTGCACTAACGGAGGACCAAGTGAAGGACACAGAAAAGTTTGGAGTGCTGGGCAGCTCAGCATGTACGATGACCGTGACGTTTTGGACGGACGCTTTAGCCTGGTGTTCGGAAGCCCCGAGTCCTGCTGCTAAACTGTTATTGAAGATGCACTCATGCATGTCAGTAGCTCAGATTCTGATCAGTGAATTTAGTGATTCTTTTGATAAATAGAACACTTTGAGCCCCTTTGTGTACTCATGCAGGGGCATGGTTGGTGTGTCAGTTTTACATGTTGTAAATCATACAAATTGGTTATATTTTTTTTTAAATAATTGCAATAAATAAAAAAAAGTGAAAAAACATACTTTGAAGACCATAATTTGAGTTTCAGTTTTAGATGTCAATGGTTAATTTTTTTTAATAAGAAAAACTAAATGTCATAAATAAAAAAATGTACAAACACATACTTTGAAGACCATAATTAATTAAGCCGTTAAGGTAATTAAGAAACAATAAGACGTAATATGAAAAATTGTTGTTTATTACACATCTGCAGATAGAGACCGATCATTCACTGTACAGCATTTGCGGCAGATCCGAATTGTCCGCGTATTTGTAATGATTAGACCCAGCTTCGACCGTTGAATTAATACTTCACTATCCTTCGTGTCTTGTTCCTAGATTAAAGAGGACCTATCATGGATTTTTGAAAATGACTGTTCATATGTTGTGGAATATAGCTCTAAGGGAATGAAAACATCCTGCAAAGATTTATATCTGAAAGTGCACCGTATATAAAGTTATTGTCTTTCAAAAGTGAAAGTCGACTCTGAGTCTACATATGAAATGAATTGTTTTTGAAACGAGTCATTAGCTGTTTCGTAGTGACGTAGATACGAAACATTAGCTCATTGGCCGCTCCCAACAACTGCGCGCCCAGACGGAAGTGTAAACTTGAAGTCTAGAACACATTCAAATACTTCAGCTGAATTGCATCATGTCGAGAAGACGCTGTGTTCTACAAACCCAATTCCATAAAAGTTGGGACACTGTACAAATTGTGAATAAAAACAGAATGCAATGATGTGGAAGCAGAGCCGGCTTCAGACCGCTTTTAGCAGGGGGGCATTTATTTTCAATGGGTGGGCACTAGGTAGGTATGGGGACTTTTTTTCCGATATTCGATATCCTATATTTATTATGGCTACTGCCTTTTCTGTTAGCTATTAACATGAAGTAATGCAACCCACACAATAAACACATAAAAAACATTACACATTGTTGCAAGAGGAGCGACTCTTAAGAAATTTGATCAAGGGTTAAATAGGCCTATACAAAAAAGAATTGCAAGACCGACTCTGACCACAGCTTTATAATAGCAAAGCTAACGAACATGTACACAGTCTCTCACTGACAGAATAGCCGTTTATATGCTATCTCAATGGCGGAAGTGAGAAAAAAAAAGCTAAGTTACTCATCTTTATTCTGCTATGTTCTAACATAAGCATTTACATTCATAGCCTTAAAAAAGCATCATGTAGTTACCTTTATCAAATAAAACCTTTAACACCCTTAACAAATAAAAACACCCACAACATACACAGATTATTCTACAATTTCCATTTACAAGAAAATATAGGCTTAAACACCTGTTTCTCCACGGCGGGAGTGAGTGACATTTCAGGACAATGGGCAGCGCAAAAACTAGGCCAACTAAACTATTAGTTTCATCACGTGACAACACATAGTGAACATTACAGTACATGCCAGTTAGATAAATAGCTACACTTACGACTCGGACTCGACTGTCTTTGGTCTCGGTCTCGACTACAACACTGCACGGTAGAAGCACCAAATACCAAAGCCGGGCTGTCGTTGTCTTGCTGTATGGGGTAATCGATGTGTAAGGAGAAACTGTACTGAACCATTTTCTAATTTCCATTTTTGGAGAGTTTTCATCTGTTTGCTTTGTTTTGTTTTGAATGCAGGAAGCTCGCGCGGTCGCGCCAACTGAAAATCATTTCATTCAAGTATTAACGTGCGTGATTGGGGGGGCGGCAGGGGGGTTTCCTCACAGCGTCACACTGGTTTTTATGTTGGCTTTATTGTATTTTCAGCTAATGAGCCGTTTGTAGACATATATTTGTACTATTTCTCACTGAAATGTGAATTAAATTAAACTGATATTATTTTGTAAATTATATCATAATTCAATTTGGGGGGGGCACAAAATACATTTGGGGGGGCATTGCCCCCTAATGCCCCCCCATAGCGCCGGCACTGTGTGGAAGTTGCAAATTTCTATATTATATTTAGAATACAACATAGGTGACATATCAAATGTTTAAACTGAGAAAATGCATAATTTTAAGGGAGAAATAAGTTGATTTTAAATTTCATGGCATCAACACATCTCAAAAAAGTTGGGACAAGGCCATTTTTACCACTGTGTGGCATCCCCTCTTCTTTTAATAACAGTCTGCACACGTCTGGGGACTGAGGAGACAAGTTGTTCAAGTTTAGGAATAGGAATGTTGTCCCATTCTTGTCTAATAAAGGCTTCTAGCTGCTCAACTGTCTTAGGTCTTCTTTGTTGCATCTTCCTCTTTATGCGCCAAATGTTTTCTATGGGTGAAAGATCTGGACTGCAGGCTGGCCATTTCAGTACCCGGATCCTTCTTCTACGCAGCCATGATGTTGTAATTGATGCAGTATGTGGTTTGGCATTGTCTTGTTGGAAAATACAAGGTCTTCCCTGAAAGAGACGATGTCTGGATGGGAGCATATGTTGTTCTAGAACTTGGATATACCTTTCAGCATTGATGGTGCCTTTCCAGATGTGTAAGCTGCCCATGCCACACGCACTCATGCAACCCCATACCATCAGAGATGCAGGCTTCTGAACTGAGTGCTGATAACAACTTGGGTTGTCCTTGTCCTCTTTAGTCCGGATGACATGGCGTCCCAGTTTTCCAAAAAGAACTTCAAATTTTGATTCGTCTGACCACAGAACAGTTTTCCACTTTGCTAGAGTCCACTTTAAATGAGCCTTGGCCCAGAGAAAACGCCTGCGCTTCTGGTTCCCGTTTAGATATGGCTTCTTTTTTGACCTATAGAGCTTTAGCCGGCAACGGTGAATGGCACGGTGGATTGTGTTCACTGATAATGTTTTCTGGAAGTATTCTTGAGCCCATGTTGCGATTTCCATTACAGTAGCATTCCTGTGTGTGATGCAGTGCCGTCTAAGGGCCCGAAGATCACGGGCATTCAGTATGGTTTTCCGGCCTTGACCCTTATGCACAGAGATTGTTCCAGATTCTCTGAATCTTTGGATGATTTTATGCACTGTAGATGATGATAACTTCAAACTCTTTGAAATTTTTCTCTGAGAAACTCCTTTCTGATATTGCTCCACTATTTTTTGCCTCAGCATTGGGGGAATTGGTGATCCTCTGCCCATCTTGACTTCTGAGAGACACTGCCACTCTGAGAGGCTCTTTTTATACCCAATCATGTTGCCAATTGACCTAATAAGTTGCAAATTGGTCCTCCGGCTGTTCCTTATATGTACATTTAACTTTTCTGGCCTCTTATTGCTACCCGTCCCAACTTTTTTGGAATTTGTAGCTCTCATGAAATCCAAAAGAAGCCAATATTTGGCATGGCAATTCAAAATGTCTCACTTTCAACATTTGATATGTCATTTATATTCTATTGTGAATAAAATATAAGTTTATGAGATTTCTAAATTATTCCATTCTTTTTTTACTCACAATTTGTACAGTGTCCCAACTTTTTTGGAATCGGGTTTGTACATTGCAAAGACAGTAACCCTATTGAGCACCTGTGGGCCATAAAGCGGAAAGTGGAGAAGCGCCATGTATATAGCATCCAGCAACTCTGTGATGTCATTATGGAGGAGTGGAAGAAGATCCCAGCAACAACCGGTGCAGCTCTGGTGAACTCCATGGCCAGGAGGATTAAGGCAGTGCTAGATAACACTGGTGCTCACACAAAATATTGACACTTGTTTGGACACAGTTTGGACATGTTTACTTAGGGTGTACTCAATTTTTTTGACAATAATGTCTGTATGTTGAGTTATTTTCAGAGGACGGTACTGCTATACAAACAGCACATTGACTACCTCGATATGTAAGATACATATAAGCTTCATTTCTATAGAATTGTCCCTTGATAAGATATACTAAAATGTTTGCTGAACTGTTAGGGGTTTACTCACTTTTGTGAGATACTAGACAGATACAGTAGATTGATAGATAGATGTTTATGATTTTTTTTCACCTACTTTATTAACTCTCTTTTTATTTTATTTTTTTCTTTATTTCATATATTCTTAAACTTAAAAAAATATGTTGGGGGGGGGGGGGTTGGGGGTGGGTGGGTAGTTCTCTTACAAGAGGTTCTCTCATATTGCGTAAGCTAGCTTACGCTACGGGAAAGATTCATCTTTTCTGAGCAGTTGACGCCAAAACATTATCCTTTAATTTTGTATCCATTGTCAACGCAGTTCACTGCAGCAGACCATGAGCGGGCTAGCTAGCAGCTCATTGGTTCGCTCAGGGAGAACTGCTTCAACCTATGAGTTGAACTCGCGGCCAATGAGAAGCTGCGCTGTATGAGGGACGAGACGCTTACAGCTGTGCCGACCGCGGCTAGCTTTCTTTACTTTACAAGAGAGCTAGCCCCCACCCCCCCGTGCATAGCTTCACCGAAAATGGGTTTATGGTGTGTTAGTCCCGCCGAGGCTTGTGTCTTTACTGCTGTGGCTCAGTGGTAAAACACAAAGCTTTTCGCGCCAGAGACCCGTGTTCGATTCCAGCTCTTGCAGATAATTTTATGCAGCTCTGAGCTCGCGGCCAGCTTTCTTACGTCACAGAAAGCGGCCGCGCTCTCCCGCGCACATGCGTCAGTGGCGACATGAGAAACGAGTGTGTTTTTAGCCCGCCGAGGCCTTTTAAGCACCCATCTCTCCAACGTTTATATTTCCTCGTTCGAGTGGCCGAAAATGTCTATATTGCAGCAACGAGCTTGTCATAACATGAACGCCTGCAATAACACCGACAGATTAAGATTGACGCCAATTCTGTTCAAGTGTAATAGGTGCCCACACCCCTGTGCTCACCCATATTAAACACAGCATTCCCGTGTCTAATAGAGCCCACTCTCTTAGCTGGCTATACCGCTAGAGTGTTATCTGTAACAGATGTGCCCACGACTGTGCTCACATTAGTGATGTGTCGTTCATGAACGATTCGTTCATTTTGAACGAATCTTTAATATGACTCGGGACTACCGAGTTGTCTCGGGGAGTGATTCGTTCATTTTGTGTGACCTGTGCATGCACATTGCGCAACATATGGATTCTGAATCTGTACTGGAAACAGAAATGATTCGTTCATCTCTCAAGTTCGGGTTCGGGGCGAGTCCGAGTCTTTTGTTCTTCCTGTCAGTCCCATAGAGCCTATGCTGTCAGTACCGGAAAGAGAAATGATTAGTTCATCTCTCGAGTTCGGGTTCGGCGGGTCCGAGTCTTTCGTTCTCCCTGTCAGTCCCTTTAAGCCTATGCTGTCAGACCACCGGAAAGAGGAATGATTAGTTCATTTGAGTCTTCGGGTTTGAGTCCGTGTCGTTCTATTCTCACGTGGCCACTGGTCACGCATCAAATACAAGACTGTCCAGGAATCTCATCCTTCCGGGAGAATGGTCCCTGCACGTTCAAACAGTCCAGAAACTGTGGCGAATATTTGGCAGAGCAGAGGTGGGTCTCTTCGCGTCAGAGGAGAACGCTCACTGGCCAATATTTTTCTCATAGAGCGAGGACGCGCTAGCCCAGAAGTGGCCCAGCCGCCCGCTTTATGCATTCCCTCCGGTCTCCCTGTTACCACAGGTTTTATAGAGGATCAGGGAAACATGCCACTCGGTGCTCCTCATAGCCCCGCGTTGGGAGAGTCAGACTTGGTTCCCGGAGCTCGCTCAGGTGTCGCAGACAGCCCTGTGGCCCATTCCAGTCAGAGCAGATCTCCTCTCTCAAGCTCACAATCTGGCATCCCCATCCTCAGCGCTGGGCGCTTCATGCATGGGTGATCAACAACTATCCGTTGTTTTGCCAGAAGGAGTGTTAAACACGATCATGAACGCCAGAGCGGCTTCTACTAGGAAGCTCTATGTGTCAAAATGGTCTGTGTTCTCTAATGGTGCACCAACAAAATCCTAGACCCACAGCGGTGCGATGTGTCTTTACCCGTCTTCCTTCAGGAGATGCTGGATAAGGGCAGGTCCCCATCCACTCACAAGGTTTACGTGGCAGCTGTCGCGGCGTTCGCTGAACCCCGACGCACTCAGTCTCTGGGCAAAGACGAGCTAGTCATACGCTTCCTCAGGGGAGCTAAAAGGATGAACCCCCCGCACCCCCCTTCGGTTCCCATTTGGGATCTTTCTATAGTTCTCGAAGCTATGAAAGCCCCCCTGTTCGAACAGTTAGAGTCTGTGGACCTAAATACCTCTCGCTAAAAAACGTTTTTCTGATTCTGTCTGTCATCAGTAAAACGTGTGGGAGACCTTCACGCGCTCTCTTCTAGCGCAGCGTGTCTCGAGTTTGGACCCAATGACTCCATAGTCATCTGCAAACCTAGACATGGCTATGTCCCCAAAGCGATTGGTACCCCATTCAGCTCAGGTTATTTACCTGATTTTCGCTATTTCGCTATCCCGCATCCGATAGCGAATGTGACGCCAATCTCCTTTGTCCGCTTCGGGCTCTGAGATTGTACACTACACGCGCATGGCCTCATTGTGGGCATGGTCCAGCGGCATTTCCATTCAAGTCATATGCATGGCAGCGGGATGGGCTTCCCCTTCCAACTTTGTCAGATTTTACAATCTGGAAGTAGCCGCACTGCAGGCAAAGCTACTAGCAGTCTAGTATGCTTCAGCTCTTATGTTGAGCTGCACTATTGGGAGTCACACTCATTCAACCGGCGTGCCGCTTGTTCTTCCCTCATATGCTTATGTACTACACAATCACCGGCCCACTTGCTGGCCCTTTTATTTTCACGTACATTATTTTCCCACTTATAAGGGTCCCCCAGGATTCCTCCCCCGGGACTCATTGTGGAAGCTTAGCGTGCACGGCGTTGACCAAGTGTTCCCGTGGCGTAAGCTAGCTCATGCAATAGGCGAGAACCTCTCGTAAGATAACGAATCGGTTACCTAACCTCGGTTATCTCTAGATGAGGTAACGAGTATTGCGTTCCCGCCCGTGCTTGCGCTACTAGTGTTCTCGCTTCATTCAATGAAAAACCAGAAAACAGCGGGAAACTCGTCTATTTATAGACTCGGACCACGCCGTTTTGGCGGGCTTTGATGCAATGAGAGCGTGTCAGCTTCTCATTGGCCGCGAGTTCAACCGAGTTCCCTCATAGGCTGTAGCAGTTCTCCCTGAGCGAACCAATGAGCTGCTAGCTAGCCCGCTCATGGTCTGCTGCAGTGAACTGCGTTGACAATGGTTACAAAATTAAAGGATAATTTTTTGGCTTCAACTTTTCAAAAAAGATTAATCTTTCCTATACCGTAAGCTAGCTTACGCAATACTTGTTCCCTCATCTAGAGAGAATCGAGGTTACGTAAGGTAACCGATTCGTTAATGTCCATGTCACTAATGACTATTCAGGTTCTAACCAGTTAAACAAAAAATACAAAATGCATTTACATCTCTTTTACACTTCTTGTTTTGTTAAATGTTCCCTAGAAACTCATCAATGCATGAGCCACTAATGAAATCGTCAACCCTACATAAATAAATAAACATGAACAGAAGTCTAAATCAATAGATGTGAACACACCACTCAACATATGTCTGTGTAAAAAAGCCTATTGTAGGAACTCAGTGGACGGCCATTGGTACAGTTATGACGACAGCAGCGTGGAGCTTGTGCCAGAGGAGGAACTGTGCACACGAGGGGCATATATCCTGTTCTACCAGAGAAGAAATGTCATCCCTCCCTGGTCCGCCAACAGCTCAGCCAGAGGTCAGTGAATGAGCCTTTGTGGCCATGTATTAGATGGAGGTTGACTGACATTTTGTTTGTTGCATTGGATCAATGTTAGTCAGGAAGCACATTTAATCCAATGTGAAGGTTCCACAGTCATGGTAAGAATACATTTGGTGTTCTGACAGTGACAGAATTCTGAGGACATGTAGGACCAGTTTTTCTGACTGTTGTACAGGTCACTTTCTCTTAAATTAGTTCAGTGCAAGTTAAATCAAAAGTATTTTCAGTAGGGGTGTGAATCTGTAACAATCTCAAAATTATTCAAATCTGTATTCAGATAAAACAAATCTGAACAAATAAAATAAATAACTTCAATGCTTGCAGTGTCCGAGAGAGTGAGACAGAAAAATATCATGTAGCCTATCATATCGTACAAGGTTTAAAACATTTAAATAGACATATACTGTATGTTGTAGAACATGTGTATGATTCAGTTTCTTTGTTGATTTGACAAGCTGATTTCTGATTGACGTGTAGACATGGCAACGCAGCTATTTGATTTGCGTTCGTGTTGCGCTAATTTCATTAATTTGTGTATAATATTCGTGTATAATATATATGGTTTAAATATTTTAAATAGACACATCAAATAGTAGAACATGTGCATGATGTATTTTAGTGGATATTACTGTCTTGCCAAGCTCTCATTTCTGAAAGAGACTGAAGCATGGCTATTTGATTTGCATGCTTTTCATTCATAGTGTTTACACGTATTCACTTCACAAACTCATTATTGCGTAGTGATTTAAGAGGTGTGAATATTGTGCTATCCCCTGGCTCATCTGTGATCCAGCAAACATTTGAAGTGACTTAGTCTGCCGATTATTTTTTCTGTTATTTGGTAGAATTTGTTATTTGTTTTTGGAGCCATTATCCGTGCCTTAACGAATAAGGTATTAGGCTTCGGGCACATCCCTAATTTGCAGTATGTTGATTGACACAATCATTGCTGACACTGTTGTTGTGGGTACCCTTTATACGTAGCTTCCATGGTACGCCATCACATGTCTTGGACTAAGTTGGACATGTGATTCAGACATGATCGCACAGAAGAGTTCCCAATGCATCTTTTTCCCTTTTTTAAGGGAACCATGGTTGGAGTCGTAACTTGAGAAATGTTTTTAGTTGGTTTCAGTTCATTTGACCGGCAGCTAAGATGCCACCACTGGGCATGTGATACTTGGTCATCATGAAAACAATAATACAGAACATTATTAGTTATTAAAATTAAGGGGCAGCTTATTTAATGTCTTTGTCTAGGAGTAACATGGACTTGCAGCCACTAAACATCGTCTTGATTGTTTCCTTGTGCAGTTTCCACCAGCTCCTCCATGTCAGACCACTGGCTCATCCGTTTAAATGGTGACAGTAAAAGAGGAAGTATGGTTTCACGGTCTTCCACAACATGCCCCTCTACCATCCCAGACTCCCCAGAGTCTCCCGTCTTTCAAAATGAGCCCTCAATCGATAAGGGAGGTGGTGAGTTTGTACCCTGCAAGTTTGTTCTTATCATTGTAAATAAAATAAAAATGTAAATAATATAAGTATGTTGCTTGACTGAATTTTTATCATAGTTGTTCACTTGTTTTGTTGTGGCCAAGTGTTTTCCACCATGTACTGAGTATTGTGTAAATGTCAGTGTCTTTAGGTGGGTTTGAAACCAGACCTTTTGTGCGAGGAATCCAAGGGCGTAGCATAAGCATGAAAAGTCCCACCAAGACCAGAATGCTGCCACTGCGATGGTCCTTTGGAAACAAAGACCGCCACAAACCTGCCTCAGCTCCTGACCCAGCTCCTGCAGAGCTAGTGGAGTATTTAGAGTCTGGAAGGAGGCCAAGATGCACCAAAGACCCTATTGTTGCCCTAATGACTCGATCTTCAGATAAAAAAGTCAGTAAAGAAAACGATTCGAGAAAACCTGCCGCCAAATCTTCTAGCCACAGCAGCATCGCACCTCTAGATTATCTTAAAATACCGCAGGGTCAAGCAAGTAGCTCAAAGAAAGACACAGGCCAACAATCCAGCAGCAACAGTAGACCAAGAGAAGATGGGACTTTGACTTTGACTAGACGGAGCAGCAGAAAATCAAAACAGGAACAAACGCAGTCCAGAAAGAGCTCTAGTGCAGGGCTCCAATCCAGTTCCTGTGGTACAGACAGCTGGGAAACCACGCTGAGGAATAAGCCAAGCAAGGAACGAGACCAACCAGATGAAAAACAAAAAAAGGGACTGGAGACAAAACGTCACGATAGTGTCTTCGCTTTTCTCAAAGGTGGTTTCATGAAGGATTCACTTCGGAGGTCTCGAGACAGTGAAACTATGCAAATGGGTGATGTAGGAGTGAAGAGCCTCAGCCCATCCAGAGTTTCGATCTCCAACGGGACACATAATAGAACTTCGGAAGGTAAAGCCGATAGCAATAACCAAGGTCATAGCAGACTCGGTGGTGAACTTGCAAACGGCAAGGTGAGTCGTGGGTTGTCAGACATCAAACGGTCACAAAGTTCTTCCAATATTCAAAGCAAATTGGATCCAGGCTTAAGAAGAACAGCATCTCTACACAGAAACGGCACAACGGTGGCCCAGCCGCAGAGCACGCCCGGGGACAGGGGCTCTCAGCACACTCAGCAACGTACACGGTACAGCACAAATTCACTCGGCAGAAAGAAGGCCGTGCCTGAATCGAGCTTCTGAGACTTTCTTCACTACACTCAAATAACATAACACGGTAGCAAATATCTAAAAGCCCAAGTAAGAATTGTGGTATGAAATGTAGGTTTGAAAAGATCACTAAAACCTGGCAGCACACAAACTACAGTATGAAGTTGCACATACATTTGGAACTAGTGGATATTTTTGTTCACTTGTTTTTGCTTATATGAAGTGCCTCTGAGCCAGAGCTATTTTTCAGATTGTGTTTTGCCACTAGAAGTACATTACATACTGGCCTCTACGCCGTGCGTTTGAATTGAAAAATAATTTGCCTCAGATTAGATTTTCTTGTGCCACTAAATAGATTTATCAGCTGTAATATATGAAGGAAATTGCTATATATAACTTTTCAGTTTCATCTCTTATGATTCTGCAGATTGTACTGACTTGCTGCTAACCTCTCATGGGTTTTCATGACATTTAACAAAGATGTTCTTGCACTTTCAGTGAATTTATTGCACCATCTGATTTAGTCGTACTTTCAGACCAAAATATAAAATGTATTGATTTTTACTTTTTTGTTGATTTCTTTTACACTGCAAAAAAATATTTTCTTAATGAGTGTTGTTGTCTTGTTTTTCATCAAACTGTCATGTGACTTCAGAACACGGTAACCATCAGTAAAAGTAAATTAACAACATTTGCTGAAAAAGGTTACCATATTTGGCATATTGCGTTGTTTCAAAGATTTAGATATTTTAACTGTAAAACAAGACCAAAATGCTGATTAAAAAAGTTATTTTCCAGTGCAGTGTTTGAAATTTTTCTTTCTTTCTTTTTTGTCAATACAACATTAAGACATTTGTAAATTCATATTATGCAATTTTAAGTATAAAATCACACTGAAACCAAAAATATGTGCTTTAGATGATGCTTTGTCGCATATGTATAAAGATGGCATGTTGACGACACATTAAAAAGTAATACAGTGTCGCTTCTGAAAAGCACTCTACCATTAAACACATTACCAGTGGATTAATCCATATACTAACCACCTTGACTTAGTTTGAAGGTAATAACAATAACCTATGTAACTTAAAGGATAGTACACCCAGAAATGAACCCCAGTGTTGTCCCAAACTGATTTTACTTTTTCACCCATCAAAAGACCACTAAAGGAGATGTTAGGCAGGATGTTCATGGTGCTATTTTTCATTTAAAAAAGGTGAATGGTGACCAGAAACTGTCAAGTTCCAAAATGACCACACACAAAAAAAAAAAAGTTAAAATGCATGCATGTCAATAATGATACAACAGGCCTCTGAGGAATGTTTATTAGTACATCTCTCAAACATCATTGTACTGCATTACATTTAATTTTTGACCGCCAACTACAGAACTCTGATCACAAGACTAAGCATTATCATCTTACTAAGACTTATTATTAGAAATAGAGTGACAACTGGTGTTTACATGTAGTCTGTTATACTTTAAAAGAAAAATCTCATTGATTTACATTACAAGAACTTCTTAATTGTTGGCCATATGAATAACAATATCTGCACTAAATTGCATACTTTAGCTCAGTTTTTTTGAGTGAGTTCTATATTCTCACTATATCATATCATACAATACGGCCATAAAAGCCTGCTGTATCAATATGATACAACTCATAAAACACATATTCAAACCTTACATATATGAATATGCACACATCTGAATGAGATTTGACATTTTTATGTGATTTTATAAGATTATTAGTGAGTAAAGGTAGTAATGGTTGTCTTTTTCCACACACAAAAATTATCATATGGCTTGGAATTTTAAATGTATGTATTTAAATGTACTTTTAGTGTGCTCTTTGAATTTTTTTTTTTTTTAACATTGACTTTTTTAATATGGAAATGAGCAGTGTGAACATTCTGCTGAACATCTCTTTTAGTGAAGCAAACTTGTTTAAAAAATGTTTGATTTGTTCGTTTTGGGGGGAAATATTCCTTTACTATTAATGTGTTCAACTAATGTGGAGCTCTAGCAATACCAATGACTGTGGACCGAAGAAAAGCCTCAGTGTAAAGTGACCTTAGAGAAAAGACATCCTTGACACAGATTGTGTTTGGCTCCAATTGCTATAGCAACAGTCAGAATATGTCATATAGTCTCTTTCTTATTTTGACTGATTGGGTTTGTATGTCCATATACCTGGTGAATAAGACAGAACTAACAATCATACTTGTGTATCGCTAGCAGTATTTTTTAAATTGTCTAAATGCAATTCATTAAACACCAATGCTGTATAAACTCACAGCAAAGCTCATCCTCTTGCCAAATATAATATTTTAGAAAACCTTACTCATTATCAAAGATTTAAATAGATTTATTTTATCTTAGTGTGATTACGAGCGAATTAAAACTCAAACGTCAGTCTGAATCAAGTTCACGCATTTGTGTTTTTATCAATTCATGAACCAAACTGTAAGTGTCCTTCTGAATATTGCACATGGTATACCCTTGTAAAATACTGTTTGTTTATCTCTTTGAAATCTCTCTGAATTTCTATCGACATAGGCTTGTTGGAAAAATGTGCCTCTTTTTTAAAAAACTCCAAAAAGCTGCCAATAATTCAATTCACTGTATTTTCTAGTGGCTACAAAACACCAACCTGTATTCATTTTCTCACAAACGATGATTAGAGGGGCAGATTATCAATTACTAAAGACTTATTTTGAATAGTTACTTGCACTAAACTGTGTTATGACCCCAAAACCCTTTTACCATAGTGTATGATTTGTACTCTAATACATTTTGCTGCTTGCAATAGAGTGCCGAAGTTACGACGTCACTCTCTAGGCCAAAACGCGGAAGTGAGTTAGCATTTTAGCATTACGGTTCCCTCGCTCTAAAGCCTATGGGATTTTTGAATGGGTTTTTGCTAAATCGCCTGAAATAAGGTCTGTGGTGAACAGAGCCTCTAAATATGTTCACGTTTTGATCTATGACACAGAACACACAGTTATAACATGCTTGTGGTTTTTTAAACTTTGTATCTGATTGTGTTTTTTAAAATCTTTATATAGGCTTCAAAATGTATAAATTTTGGATTAACTTGTAAAGATTATCTTGCTAGACAAAACATGTAAGGGTCACAACCCTTTGTTAATCACAGACCTTATTTTTTGCGATTTTTCCAAAAGTCTATGGGGAAAATGCATTGCTTTTCGACCGAGGGAACCCATGCGCCGCTAGCTTCCGGGTTGTCCTACAAAGTGACGTCATCACTTCGGCACTCTATGCATCACATGACCAGCTCCTCATGTAAGGCTTTTCTCACGTAAACTTGCTGGGTATCTCACCTGGTACACTAAACTGCGAAACGTGAAGTCATGACACTCGATAAACGCACAAAGATTTGTAGAAGCAAGCTAAAATGCGTTTTTATCTCAAGCTTGCTTTTGTTAACACTCGGTTAGGTTAAGTGTATTTGGTGTTATTTTAAAACGTGAAAGAGCACTAATCTTTAGGCGAGGCCTTCCAGGCATTTCATTACCAAACTAAAACCGAAATATATGACCAACCTAATTAAACATTGTCAGGTTTAGTTTCACTAACAAAGCAAATAGGGTCAATTTTCACTTTGAAAGAGATGTGATGCACGCAATAAGCAACATTATTTTGCAGAAAGTTGTCAGGCACATTTTTCCAATACACCTGGGTACTGTATGTAGTAAAGTTTGAATTGCACTGTAGAATATGATTTAATGATTGTTGTAAATTTACAGATATCATGCAGTTTACAAATTATTTTGATTGACCAGAAGCAAAGATATGAAGAGATGGTCTGTTTGTGTCAAACTCAAACTCTTTTTGCCTAGATGTCCTTTACACAGGATGTCAATTTCAAAAGAAAAACCTACTTTTATATTGTATTTGTTTTGTTTATTACGGTTCTTAAAAAGTTGTTATATTCCATCACTGCAGAAGAGAGATTATTCAGTTCATTACTGAAAAAAATCAAGTAAAAACATATTTTCTCTTTTCGGCTTTATTGAAATCTGTCTATGAAGCCCAGTAAAGGTTTTTGTCTTCTTCTTTCAACGTCTAATCATCCCTGTATTCTGGATATGTCAAACTCATGTAAAAAGCAGCAATTACATGGCATGCCAGTCTGCTTCCCAAGGGCATTTCTTTTCTTCCACTCCAATGCTTCCAAATAATCTCATTTTTCACTATGCTTAAAATAATAAGCACTTGTGCTGACAAGACAATGAATGAAGGAATCTTACCCTGAAATCTTTTTTTTTTTATGTTTTATGCAAATTTTATAAACATTTTGTATTGTCTTTGTATGTATCTGTGTGTGTTTGTGTGTGTGTGTGTATATAAACAAAAAATCTATTGTTAATCCATCTGGGAACCGCAAATGTAGGGATAGATTATATGTACAATTCAAATTATCTTTGAATTATTGCACAAGGGTATATGTTCTGTGGTTAAGATGACTACATACAGGTTTGTGTGGACCTGAGTCGACAACAAACTGATATATTTTTGCATAATTGCCGAAATTAAAAAGACATTGGTACTCCACGTTTCTTAGACTCTTTTATAATTTGTAATTACACATGACTGAATCATACTAGCATTTATCTTGTTTGTCATCTAAAAGTTTTTATTACCATGTACTAAATAATAACAAGGCTATCACTGTTCTCTGCAACACTTCGATAGTGAAAGTCTCATTTTGCATTGGCTACAGGAGCTCCGACTCCTGAGGGAGTCTTCAAAGAGCAGCTTGATTCATTCCTCATCAGCATTCACTACCCTATAGTCTCGAACTTCAGACTGAAAACGTCTGGTTGGTGTCATTGTTTCAGTATCTCAGCTGTGTCATACAGAAGAATCAATTCTGGTATTTATTCAATATTTATTCAAAAGATTGAGTTACATCATTTTGAATGCAAACTGCTTCTAAAAAAAAACTTATTTTAACATTCTAAGAAGCATAAGGACAAACTCACCGTAATTACTGGTCTGTTTGCCTGCCTGCTAGGGAACAATCATCTCAGAGATGTTTGGGAGCTTTGAAAAATGTCTGTAAAAATCACACACAGCCACAAATGAACATACAAACGAAGCTCTAGTTACCTGTGATGTATGTTAACATGCAAGCAGAACAGAAGGAGATATTAACCAAAAAAGAACATTTCTGTCATCCTCATTTAAAAGGCTATGACTTTCTGGTAGGCACAATGCTTGGGACTCACAAACTATTCACTCTCATTACACCATTCCACAAAAGTGAATTCAGAGAAATTTCAAGCTAAATTTTGTGGGCAATAGCAGTTGTGGCTCCTGACCATAGGTAGGACAGATTCTGGGTCTAAGCACTAGTTTATGATAGACATGTTGTAAGCTTTATATTATAATCGCTAAACACATGCAGACACTTTTGGGAGAGGTCTAGTGTCCTTGCGTTATTCAGCCTAATGGTAAGGATAGTGCTCTAATGTCGATTGACAGGTCACACAACATGCCATAGAACGCTATCTTAGAATTTCCCTAATGTAGTATTTATTGACTTTAAATGTTGTTTTAGAATGTTACGAGTTGTGGAGGAATTCCGGTGAGGACAAAAAAAAAAAACCCAAAAAAACAGTTCTATTCTCAGAACAAACAATGAACGCAAAATAAAGGCTATTAACATCAACGCATTTAGGATTGTCTTTGTCTGCAGCAATGTTTATGTATGGTAATGAGCAACTCAATTAGAGCATGTTGCAGTTCCATTTTTCTCCACAGATTTACATTGGAAAATCATGGGGCGCTGTAGAGTGTTCATGCGCCCGTTGCCCTGCCTGCTGATCCATATGTTTTTTTGTAATTTATCCTGCTCACTTTATGCCTTAAAATAGTCTATAAAATCCTAAACTATTTGTTACAGAATGTTCAACACATTTACATTTAATTATTGGTTCTGTTTATATGGTCTGTTTTGGATGAATATTTTGGTATGCCCTTGCAGACGAGCTGTGGCTGGCCGATAGACAATTTGCGTGAAATATGTGCCCTCATGCTAAACATCCGATAGCGTGGATTCCTATTGAAATGGCTGGTTTGCACCTGTAAATGTGACTGTATTCTGTTTAACATTTGATTTTGTACTCCCTGAAGAAAGTTAGTCACTTATAGGTTTCTAATCAACATGAGGGTGATACGATGACACTTTCATTACAAATGTTCATCTTTGATGTTTTGCCTGTCCCTTTAAATAGCTACATTTCCAGCATTGCTACATTTAATACAGGCCCATTTCTAAATTACTTTTGCTACATTAAATCTTTGCTATTAGTGACACCGGTGGCCATTATTTGCACTGCAGCCTGCAACTTATTGCTCTGTTTGCATTCGTGCAAACGTAACAAGAGACCGAATGTGATTCAAGGCCCCGATAAACTCACGTCAAAGTTCTTTTTTGTTCTTTGCTTAGAATTTTAAAAGATATACCTTTGCAGCGACATACGATTAAGAAACATCCTGATGCTGTTAACAGTATTTATATGTAAATATAAATGCATGCTTTCCTCTCAATGTTGAGACTATACCAAAACATCATACCCTCATCTCCTGCTAATTGTGGAGTGCAAAACAGTTTAACTTTGATATTCTGTAATTTTTTCACTTTTATTTTGCTTCTGTCCCAACTTATTTGGAGGGTGTTACAGCCATCAAAATGCTAATTTGTTTATAGGCCCTATTTATAAATACAATTAATTTGGCCAATATTTCTAAATTGGAAATTATTTCTTAATTAATAAATCCCAGATTCTTGATTGTTTTGCATTTTACAAAATGTTCCAACATTTTTGGATATGGGGTTGTAAAAAAGTTGCCCTTTTTTCAGGTCAGAGCAACTGCCCCTCAAAATTCCTGTGCACGTCCCTGAATGCCAGGGTGACGCATCACAGCCCATTCTCACCCCCAAGGCGTCACCTCACTGACACCTTGGGAAGCATTTGACCATGCTTCAATATCTGACGCCTTAGGCGCCCTTTAGCATCAGTTAGATGACGCCCTAGGATCGCGTGTACCCTACCCCCACCCCATACCTAAACCTAACCGCGTCCTCTAACTGACGCTTTCCTTTAGCGTCAGGTAGATGACGCCGTAGGATTGCGCCTAAAACGTCAAATATTGAAGCATGGTCAAAGGTGACGCCTTGGGGTGAGAATGCGTTGTGCATCATTATTATTTCATTATTATGTCAGGGTGATGCTTCATTATTATTTCCTATATATAGCTATATTTTAGCTTTTCTGTAGTACACATTCACAGTTGATCTGGTCTCTCAATTAATAAGTTAACGAGTTGTCACAGATGTGTTTTGAGTCTGGATTTGAATTTGACTACTTTAGGAGCACACCTGATCTCCTCTGGAAGCTGGTTCCAACTGCAGCTGGCATAATAGCTAAAAGCAGACTCTCCATGCTTAGAGTGAACCCTCTGTATTTCTAGCTGATGTGATCCTAATTATCTGAGTGATCTGTTGGGTTTATATTCAGTGTGCATATCTGCATTATATTAAGGTCTTTGCCCATTAAATGA